CGGGGTGACCGGGGTTGAAAATATCGTTGCACTACTTTTGTTTCCTTGTGACAGTTTTGTTAAAGTTGCAGAAAGCAACATATAACTTCTGCAGCTCTGTTTGAGGAAAGCCGAGTTCCTGGTTTTGCTTCACTTCAGCATTTTAAAGGCAAGATATTTCCAGACAGCAGCTTCAGCATCTTCTTGTGGATTTGATTATCTTTATTTTATTTTGTCATATTGGGCCGAATTTTACTGGTTAGTTTGCATCAAATGCAACTATAGTCATAATTTTACTTCACTGCGTAGGACAGCTGCACATCTCATTAAATTACATATAACTTCATTAATTCTTCATTAATATTTCTATTGTGACGTTTGCAGTCTTGACATCCTTTAGATAGTAGAGACATATCTGCAGACCGTCCACACAAAGACTTAAATGAACATTAATTATCTTTTAGCAAAACCTTAAGAATGAGAGCTCTGACCCACAGCAAAGAAACGATTGTTACCATGGGCGACAATAAAACTAAAGTACGTTAAATAATGAATGTTTTCTCTTTGCTTTCACAGGCCTGATGGAGTCATGAGAACCATGAACACAGAGAAACTCCTTAAAACCGTTTCTGTCATTCAGACTCAGATGGACGTGTTGCTTGATTTCAATGTGAGTGCTCGTCATCGTCAGACGTCTCAAACTTACAGTGATGGAATAACAGCGTTTCAGTAACCAGTAATCTAATTACTATTTCTATCGTCACAACGCTGTTACTGTTACTGAAGTGGTGCGGACATGTTGCTGTGTTTCCACTGCTGTCATCAGCTTATTGTGAAACAATCGCACGAGTGCTGCTGATTGGCTGAGGAAGAAGAAAACAGTCGTAGTAAATCAATCACATGACCAGTTTAAGATGACATAGCGACAAGATGCTGATGTCGACCCAGAGTATCAATTTCTGTGTTACAAGTGTCGACGTTTTTAAATTGTGTTGAAAAACCAGAGTTATGATAAAAAATATATACGCATGTTTTCTCCTGAATAATTGAACTCTGGAGTTTACTGTGGGAAGCACTCGAATGACCTCTCGCTTGTGAGCAAAAACAAGCCCCCCCAAAACCCCACCCTTTCCTGTTTGTGGAAAATATACCATGTCGACCAATCAAAAAATGGCATTTGGTTGTTTGGGAAGAGGGTGAAGTTTTAGGAGTGACGGCGGTGAGAGAGAGAGAGAGATTTGTGACATTTAGTGTGTAGTGTATGGATAGTGTTGTGTGTGTCAGTGAGGCGACTGCTGAAGGTCACAGCTGCTGCCAAAAAGCCAGCAAAGGCAGATTACAGTGTAAACGCTCTCTGCAGGTGGAGACAGCAGCAGTGACACACCTGCTGCTGTCAGGCTGCAGGTATCAGGCTGTGATGTGCTTTTTTATCTCACAGTGGACAGAAATTATTTTTGGGAGGGGCACAAATAGATCGTGTGGCATCTTATTGATGCAGAACAGCTGATTGTTCTGTAAACAGTTTCAATGGTTATAAAATAACAGCTTGGCTGCATTTTAGGTAAATAGCCGCAAATAGCTTTGTTGTTTGTAAAACTTGTGCAAAGGTTTATAAAACTTACATTTTATATTTGCATTTCAAGTTAAGAGAATGATTTTTAAACATGTTTGTGGTTGTTGCAGTAAAAATAACTTTTTCTACTCAGATTTTATATTTTCTGTCTGGTTTCAGATCAGCTGTGCTGATACAGTATGTCAAATGAAAAAATAACTGTAACTTCAGACGTGTGAGGTTGTGCTGAAAAGAACGGTACCAAACAAAACAAGGCAGGAAAAATCGTTTTTAAAGGCGAAACGACAAGTAGTCAAAAACGCCCTCGACCACAGAGGGATGAACATAGTTTAAAGTAACGCAGTAGTTACTTTTCCTAGTAATTAGTTACTTTATAATATTGTAACTCAGTTGCTAACATAGTTACTTTAACTGTGTTAAGTAACTATAACTACTTACTTTTCTTGTTTGTTAGCCCGTTGGCGCAGTGGTGGGCGTGTTTTATAAGCGCTCTTTAAATGAACTTTGTTAGCGTTTTAGACCAAATTAAGGCAAAAATGGTTTTGAAAGAAGAGAAGACGAACTTTACTGGGCAGCACAAAGTACTGCTGTCTGAAAAGCAGCATTGCCTCGATCTTACCATATGCGCCACACATTATTGTTACTCCTCAACCATTTTTACAGAAAATTCAAATGGTTCAGATGAGAATCAGTTTGTTTTGGCACAATTATAAAATAAGTGCAGGTTGATTCTGTTTACCTGGACGCAGCGTTTCGTCACTCATCCAGGTGACGTCTTGGAGACTGAAGAAGTCAGG